TTAGGAGCGAAGTCTAATTTCTTTCAATTATTCTTGAAAGTGTGCAAATTAGAAATTTGCACATTGCTTCCTCATAGAGGAACGTTTAGGAGCGATATCTAATTTTGCACGATGTTTCTTGAAAGTGTGCAAATTAGAAATTTGCACCTTGCTTCCTCATCATTGAAGCGTGCAAATTGGAAATTTGCAAATTTCTTCCTCATCATTAAAGTAGGCAAATTAGATATTTGCACATTGCTTCAATTGTTATGGCTTCCTCATATATGAAGCTTTATGAGAGAAATCTAACTTTACTACGATGTTTCTTGAAAGTATTCAAATTATTCTTATTTTGTTCTTAAAGGTTCCTCTATGAGGAAGCCATAACAATGGAAGCAATGTGCAAATTTGTAATTAGAAAAAATTAAATTAAAGTAAAGTGTGCAAATTAGAAATTGGCACATGGCTTCCTGATAGAGGAAGCTTGAAGAACAAAATAAGAATAATTTGAATACTTTCAAGAAACATCGTAGTAAAGTTAGATTTCTCTCATAAAGCTTCATCTATGAGGAAGCCATAACAATTTAAGCAATGTGCAAATATCTAATTTGCCTACTTTAATGATGAGGAAGAAATTTGCAAATTTCCAATTTGCACGCTTCAATGATGAGGAAGAAAGGTGCAAATTTCTAATTTGCACACTTTCAAGAAACATCGTGCAAAATTAGATATCGCTCCTAAACGTTCCTCTATGAGGAAGCAATGTGCAAATTTCTAATTTTTTTATTTAAAAATGATTTATAGCCGAGTACAATTTATATGCCAATATACAATTTTTTTTATAATCAAAGAAAGAGGAAAGGAAAAAGAGCAAGAAAACAACGATATTTAGTGAAAGAGGGAGGGAGAGAGAGAGAGAGAGAGAGAGAGAGATAACTTTGCAAAATTATCTTACATTTCATTTATATTATTTAATATTTATTTTACATTGTCCATGTTTATTGTTTTCTATGGTTTTATTGTACAACGAATATTTAACTATTAAATGTGAAAACTGTTTATTTATTAACGTTTTTTATTATAATATTAATATAGTAATTAATATAAAATAATTGTGAAACAACCTAAAATAAAAACCATGTAAAAAATATTTTTTATATACATATATGTCGCAAATGACTAATCAATATGAAATAAATGTAAAATAAGTATAAAATAAACATTATGCAAAGGGCCTCGTCCGGATGGAATAATAATTGTAGTCGTGCCTCTGGTCGCGAACTCACAACAGAGTTTAAATATTTCCCGTGACAAAAGGAAAATCCCCCGCGCCTGGCGCCATGCGTGGCGGCGCGGGATAACCTCATTTGTGTTCTCTGTTGCGTAACCGTCAACAGCGTACTGGTCTTTTTCCGCGTATTTTGTGTAAGTTTAACATTATCATGTCGGATTCACATCGTCGCAAGAAGTCCAGATCTCCAAGTAAACGGAAGGAGAAATCGAGACATCATCGTCACTCACGAGAGCATGCTCGTAGCGAGAGACGCGATCGTTCACGCCCGCGAGGTTATGAACGTTCACATACTCGCGATCGTAGCCCGGTTCGCTCTCGCAGCCGATCTCGCGCGCCCGAGGGAGGAAGTATTTTGGCTGAACTCCATCCCCAACTAGTTGCCCAAATTTCTGAACTGTGCAGAAATTTCCAAAATACATATCCAGGGGAGGTTATACCGCCTACCACGAATCCTAGCGTTCAACCGCATTTAGAGCAGCAGCCACCAAAAGACACGCCGGTTCCCACGAACCGGGGCGATGCACCAGGTATGTCCCTTTGCTGACCCTGTTTTCCACGATAGAAAAATGGATACAGAAGGGACATAGCCGATGTGTTCTTTTCGGCGCTCGCTCACTTTTCTTTTCATTCGCAGGCGGCCGATCGGTCTCTTTTAACGAACAGGGGCCTCCCTCGCAACCTTCATTTTCGGCAGAGCTATTCGCGACTCAATCTGAAGTTTCCTCAGATATAGTATGGGACTCGACAATTTTAGATTTTGCACGCTCAACGGTACAGACAGGGCTTCCCGAGAATCTTCGCCGAGAACTTCTTCAGAAATATGAGGTTAGAGGCGACCTTGCGGCTTTGGGTCCACCTAAAATCAACAAACTACTGCTGCCGGCCCTGAAATCCTCATCGTCCACGATGAAAAGAGACGAATACCAAACAGAGCGCCAGGCCCGACTCGCGGCAGCATTAAATGCTATTGGTTGCGGTACTTCAACTCTTTTAAAACCGGAAGTTTTGGATTGCCTCCCTGAGGAAGGAAAACTGGCTATTCGCCAAATATCTGAGGGAATCCGCCTCAATGCGGATCTCCAGTATCGTCTCTCAATTGCTCGTAGAGCCTTTATCAAGCCAACGTTAACTCTGTTGGGAAAGTCAACGGCTGACTCTGCTCCCGTAGACGAATGGCTCTTTGGTAGTTCTTTTGCCGACGAAATTAAGGATGCCCAAGCGTGCGAAAAAGTTGCCCGTGGTCTAGTGAAGACAACGCCAGTTACCCCCAAGGCCACTTCACAACAACCGAAGCGTTTTCAACCCCAGGCTGCCCCCACTACATCGGGAAATGCCAAGGCCCCCACTCGGTCGAGATTTTCCTCCCGAGCGGGGGCTCGTCAAACCAGGGCCCGCTCGACACACCGATCCAGATCGAAGTCTCGTGTCCACCGCCGATAAACAGGGTAAGCATCGCAGGTCGCCTGGCAAATTTCATCAATGAATGGAAGCATATAACCTCAGATCCAAGGGTCTTACAGGCGGTCCAGGGGTACAAAATTCCCTTTGTGAAACCCCCAGAAATGCGCCCTTCTCGGACAGAACCGGTTTTCTCAGCCTCAACTTCACGTCATTGCGATTCTGAAATTGCTCGACTCTGTACTGCAGGGGCAATTTACAGTGTCGAACCTTCACAGGATCAATTTCTGTCCCCGTTTTTTCTTATAGAAAAATCTAGTGGTGGAATGCGGTTCATTTTGAATCTCAAGGAGCTCAATTCTTACATGGATCCTCCGCATTTTAAATTGGAAGATTGGCGAACTGTGGTTCGCCTCATGCTTCCTGATTTTGAAATGTCATCCATCGACCTTGAAGATGCATACCTCGTCGTTCCAATACATCCTTCATATAGGAAGTTCTTGCGTTTTCAATGGAGGGGTACAACATATGAATGGGCTGCTCTTCCTTTCGGTCTCGCCACCGCTCCATACATTTTTTCCAAGATCCTTCGACCAGCGATAAAACTATTGAGATCTCAAGGTTTTGACTTCGTTGTCTACCTTGACGATTTTTTACTGCTAGCTTCATCAAAACCGGCATGTCGGGATAATGTGCAAGCTCACCTGAAGCTACTTGGTGACCTTGGATTTGTCATCAATTACTCAAAATCAGAATTAGAACCGTCACGACAACGCAAATTTCTTGGCTTTATTTTTAATTCGGAGCAACAATCCGTATCAATCCCGAAGGATCGCCGAAGAAAACTTTTCTCTCTCGTCGCAAAGTTCTCACCTGGTTCTACATGCACTATCAGAGACTTCGCAAGTATGATTGGCTCTCTGGTATCAATTTGTCCGGCAGTGCAATACGGACTCCTTTATACAAAATCTTTTGAGAGAGAAAAATTTTACAATCTCATTTCGGCCGAAAATAATTATGCTGCTAAGATGACAATCTCAAATTCATTGAAAAAGGATTACCTTTGGTGGCTAACCATTTTATCGGATAATTATCAAACGAATCACATCCGCTCAGGTCCCTATGCTTGCGAGATTTTTACCGATGCATCTCTTTCGGGATGGGGAGCGTCTTGTTCTTTGCAGCGAACCCACGGTTGGTGGTCCGAAACTGACAAATCTCGCCACATAAATTATCTCGAACTCAAGGCCATTTTTTACGCCCTGAAATGCTTCGCCAAAGACCTCAGCGACTGTGACATCCTTCTTAGAGTGGATAATACCACAGCAATCTCGTACATTAACAGATTCGGCTCGGTTCAACACCCTCACCTCTCCTCATTGGCCAAGGAGATTTGGCAGTGGTGCGAGGCCAGGAATCTTTTCCTTTTCGCCTCTTATATTGCCTCAGGAGACAATGTTATTGCCGATGAAGAGTCTCGCCAACAGGTTCCAGATACTGAATGGTCCCTATCGTCTAGGGCCTTCAATTCGATTTTACGAGAGTATGGGCCGTTTGACATCGATCTTTTTGCCTCGGTACTCAATGCCAAGTGTTCAATTTACGTGTCCTGGTTCCCAGATCCGGGTGCTTGGACGATTGATGCATTTACCCTCTCTTGGAGAAATTTCTTTTTCTATGCTTTTCCTCCATTTATTCTCATTCCTAGGGTTTTGAGAAAAATTGTGGATGATAGGGCCGAGGGAATTCTGGTGGTGCCATGGTGGCCTTCACAACCATGGTTTCCTCTCTTTAATCGCCTGTTGATATCCAAACCATTAATTTTTTCACCGTCTAAGGATCTTCTTTCCTGCCCTTCCAGGTCTCACCATCCATCTGCCGAGAACCTTTCCCTGGCGGCCGGGAGAGTATCAGGATGGCATTCCAGTCACGTGGAGTCCCGGACCCGGCTATAGAGACTATGTTAGCATCTCTTGCTTCGTCGTCCATCGCCCAGTATACGCGCCCCCTACGTTCGTGGTGGAATTTTTGCCAACAACGGGATCTCGAGCCTTTTACTCCACGTACTGTGGATGTTCTTTCTTTCTTAGCCACAGAACTGAATAGTGCGGGTTCGTATTCTACTTTGAATACGGCACGCTCAGCGGTGTCCCTGATTTCATCGAACAACATAGGAGAGGATCCTCTTATCAAACGCTTTTGTAAAGGCTCTAGTGTGCTGAAACCATCACGCCCACGTTACGATGAAATTTGGGACCCGGCTCCTGTGGTGACGAAACTAGCTTCACTGTTTCCTCATGAGAGTCTTTCATTTGAAAACTTGTCGAAAAAGTTAACCCTTCTATTGGCACTGGCATCTGGACAACGGTGCCAAACATTAGCCGCTATTCGTCTTTCACAAATTTCTTTTACGGCAAATAAGGTTGTGATAAAAATTCCTGACCGTATTAAGACATCCGGTCCCGGTCGTCTTCAACCCTTACTTTCGTTCCCGCGTTTCAACGATCGCGAGAGCTTGTGCATCGTTCGCCTTCTTTCTTATTTCATTGATTATACTAAAGACTTCCGTTCCAAAGATTGCGACTTTCTATTTATATCTATAAGAAAGCCCCATAATGCAGTTGGGTCTCAAACCCTTGCTCGCTGGATCCGCAGCATCCTTTTAGACTGCGGCGTAGACGGATCGTTCTCAGCGCATAGTACGCGCCATGTTTCAACATCCCTGGCGGCTTCTAAGGGTGTTCCTTTAGACATAATCAAACGTGCTGCTGGCTGGACAGGCGACTCACGAGTATTTGCAGAATTTTATAATCGCCCGATTGTTAATAACGAAGCGTTTGCCACAGCTGTACTAACTGCCGATTTGGCCGCACATTAGCATCCTTATGTTCACCCCACATTGTGAAATATACAATCCACATTCAAGAAATAAATAGAGCTTCATAAGACCAGTATTTTTAACTTCATACAGATCGCCCTTTAAACATCTACAATTATTATTCCATCCGGACGAGGCCCTTTGCATAATTTGAAGATTAAACGAACTTACCAAGTGAAGTTCGATCTTAATTATGCTGGGGCCTCGTCCGGATGGACCTTCCCACCCATTTTCTCCCTCCCAGAATATTTTACAGCGATCTGTTTTTTCCACTTTGAACAATGAGGTTATCCCGCGCCGCCACGCATGGCGCCAGGCGCGGGGGATTTTCCTTTTGTCACGGGAAATATTTAAACTCTGTTGTGAGTTCGCGACCAGAGGCACGACTACAATTATTATTCCATCCGGACGAGGCCCCAGCATAATTAAGATCGAACTTCACTTGGTAAGTTCGTTTAATCTTCAAATTTTTTAACCGTTTATTCAACATATGGATTTTAAACATAAAATGAATGTTTTTTAAATGTTTAATAAAAGTTTTTTTAATAAACGTTTTACTTAATAAAAATTTGCAAATGTATCTAAATATGCTAAAATAAATATATCTAAAGATGATAAAACTAAAGCCCAAACGTGGACAAAAATTGGATGTCCATAAGATGTCCCGTAAAGGATATCCGTTCAAGGTACGACAACAGACATCCGTTAAATGTCCATTTCACGTCCACGGACGTTCGGACGTAAATTGGACTTAAACTGGACGTCCACAGGACATCCTGTGCTATCTGGGAAGATGTTTATAGTTTTATATATGTACATACCACTTAGTAACATGCTCTAATCGATGCTGAATCCTATTGAGCAGCATAATAACCCACACGTCCATTGGGCGTCCAAAGGACGTCCCGAGCTCTCCGGTTGGGCGCCTATTTCCTGTCCCGAATCTGTCCCATGGACGCTCCAAGGGCGCGCAATGGATGCACCAATGACCGCCCATTTGACGCCCATTGGGCGCCCATTTTGGGGACACAGGGACACGAAATGGATGGTCTTTGGGCATATTTCGGATCTCTTCAGATTTCGTCAACACTCAAATGCCGCTCATTTGACGCCCAATGGATATCCATTCGACATCTATTGGACATTCATCCCATGCCCGTTGGGCATCCATTCAACGCCCGCGCGATGCCTATGGCCACGGTCTTACAGGTCCGGAAAGTCATATGGTGGGGGTAGGTCGAATTTTTAAGCCAATAATCGTTTGTCCTTGGCCACGAGAGTTGCTGCGGTAAGGTAGTAGACAGAGACATAGATATAGAAACCGTGATTTCTATATCTGTGTCTGTCTACTACCCTACGCAGCGACTCTCGTGGCCAAGAGACAAACGTTCATTGGCTTAAAAATTCGACCTATCTTCACCACCAAAATTTGGCCTGAGCTTCCGGACCTGTATGTAAGACCGTGCCTATATGGCTGGTATTCATAGTCGATTAATTCTTATATTGAAGATCGTCGTAAGTACTACA